CGCTCAATTTTGTTTTCGAAGAAAATATCGCTTCACTACCCTCAATAAACCCATTTTCATTTCCAGCATGTAATATAATGTATCTAAAATATATTAGTTTTAAATTTTATAGTGCAAATTGTGTAAAAGTACATACCTTTTACCATCTGTTTTAATAGCTTTCACGCTTTTTTGGTTTCCATTTTGCCAAGAGCGACCTATGGTCCCATTTTGAAATATCCAAGTTTCATCGAGGAAGACAAACTGGTATAAGGCCTCAACCTTGGCTTGATTGTATTGCCTTAGAAATTCCACCCTTTTCAAAGCTATACTTGATAGTTCCATGAGCCCTCGTCGCGGATTGTCCTTAAGCCACTTAAATCCAAGATCTCTAAGCAACCGCCTTAAAGACGTGGCACTACCATCAAATAATGCCCTATCTCTTAATCGAGACCATAAAGTTTGTATCGTAACTTGTTCTTCTGAAACCATGTGTAATATGACATTATAATTTAGTTAACGAATTAATGCAAATTTCTGATAAGTTATTATAATAAGATCTTACTTTTGTGATACATATTATAGATCACTTCTCGAATGGCACTTGTATCCAATGTCGCTGTGTTGGTTACACGTTTAATATAACTCCGCTTTTTCTTGGGCGATTCTAAATTTGCATCACTTTTCACACCCTCGGAAATACGACTAACTGTCCTTAAACTAATTTTTAAAACAGCAGCAACACGCTACAAAAAATGAAATAAAATTTCACTATTATTAATATACATTACATATAATTATTAGTAACCTACCTCTTGAACAGCATTTAAAGGCAACAAAGGCCCGTTGTTGTCCCTTTCTTGCTCAAAGTAGTGCATTAACGAGGCCACGAGTTCCTTACACCGACTATTTAACTGTTTGGGCATCTTTATATACCAAAATTGCCTTTATCTACTCGTAAAATGAATAATTTTGTTTTGAAACAAACAGTTGTTGATTTACAGTATGCGGGGCCAAAGGATTTATAAAGATTTGAAATGCCACAAATTGATTCAGTGTCAAAATTAATACAAATGTCAGTTCCCAGTTTAAATAAGTTTCAAGGTGACAATGTGTCAACGCTGCGAAATCGGTTTAGTGCGTTTACATGTCGATAAGTGATTGGAGCGTTTGCAAAACATTTTATTTCGCATAATGCGTCTAAATTTATCAGAAAGCAACTTATGTGATATTTTAATAACAAGGTTTATATGACTATTAACCATAATAAGAGAGTAATGACCATTTTACAATTTATGTATCACATTAATATGAAACTGCAATAGAGCAATTGTTTGTGATAGAAACCTAGGCATTAGGTCGGGGAATTTTTATCGTGATGACGTGCACGCCACTTTGTTTGGCGTTGACTATATAATATTTATCTGCCGATAAATTTTCTTTTTCATTTATTCCAATTCTTATGCCTGGAAATTGTATATATTATAACAAAGAGTAATTATTGGATATCTGCAAATACCTTTTCCAAAATATATCATTCACATACATGTTTCGATGTAATATTTTTTAGCCGATTTTATTAAAATTTAGGAGGTATAGTGATGTCGCCGGTTATAAACATTATGTCGAAGAAAAACAAAATTGACAAATAAAAAAAGAAAAACCAACAGATTCAAGTCCTGCGATCTAGATGCCAACGACAATTTATGGATTTGATTTGATGGATCGTTTTTCAACAGATTACAAAGGAAAAGGAACAATTTGATACATTGTATTTTGAAAATTAAGCATTATATTACCCGACTCATGTCTATATAAACTGTTCTTCTTACAATCGCCCAAGGTATTAATCGCTTGAAGTTTGGCCGGATACTATGTATGACGTTGTTTTTTTTTTGTTTGTTTGTCGAAATTTTTTTACATTAATACTACAATGACAGTTTTGTATAATTAGAGGTTAGCACATTTTTTTGAATCCATTTTCTATAATTTTACATTCTTGTCTATAAAAAATACATCACTATGCGTTTTGAGTATTCATTTAATTCCACGTTAAACATTTTTAAATCCTCCCTTTTGAAATACAGATTTGCTAGCTATGATAATGACAATTTAGTTTTGTGAAGTTCTGTAAATGTGGCGGTATTAAATGATTTTTTAATGTGAATATGAAAATGAGAACTAAATAATATATGAAATTTTTTACATTCAACCACTATAGATCTCCTAACATACACTTGATCCTGGCATATTTTTTTTATCAGAAATGAGTCTCATAGCTATATTATGTAGAATTTGTAATTTTGAAAATATGATTTCATTTGCTGTCAACAAGACGGTTGAACAATTAAAAAATGGGGAAGAATTATAGTGTTATACACAAGTTTTTTGGAATACATACTAAGATTATGGAAAACTCTATAGAAGTAATTTATCTCTTTCGATATCTTTGAAATAATGTATTCATAATGCTCGAGAAACAATAGTTTACTATCCACATATATACCAAGATATTTAAATAGTAGTAGTAGTAATAGAAAGATTTATTTAGCACATTTGGCTACATAAACAGAATAATTGTAAACAACTTAGAACTAGTAAATTCAAGCCATATGGTGTATGATGTAAATGCTGGGCAACCTATAATTGTAGATTTAACAAGTGATTTCTCAATTTTACTTTAAATTTTGTCAAAGTTTTCTGGTCTTTTATCTCCGAGTATAATTTATTATATTCAATCAACCCTTGATGGAATACAGATTTGTAGCATATGTTATACTTTTTGGTCATTAAATGGAATTCATCTTTATTTCTGGCATTATGTAAATGATGGTCGACATTTGATGATGTTAAATTAGTTAGACTTGATGGAAATATATTATTTCTTACTTTATAAATGAATATCATTACAATATATTTGATAAAATTCTTTACATTGAGCCATTTTAATTTGCTAAGCATTTGCCTAATTGGAGTATATTTATCTTTATTTAGTATTATTCTCATGCACTTATTTTGTAAAATTTGCAGTCTTTCAAAAATGGAATTATTTGCTAAATATAGAATAGTCGAACAGTACAAGAAATTTGGAAGAATGATGGTATTATAGATAATTTTTCTGCTATATGAACTTATTTATAACTTTTTCATCATGAATATCAAAAATTAATCGAGAGTCAACAAAAACCCCCAGGTATTTAAAATTTTCTACGAATTCAATATCTTCACCATCAATATTCAGTTGAACATTTGTACATTGCTTTTTTCGGATTAACAAGGCTTTCGTTTTACTTGCATTTAATTTTAGTCTGTTAGATGCTAACCATTTTGAGACAAGCTTCAAATAATTTCTAAACCAATCTAAAACACTTCCTGTTATACCATATGCCTTCAATTTACTTAACAGTATATCTCTATCAATCGTTTCAAATGCCCTCTTCAAATCCAAAAATACTGCTATGACAACTTCTTCTGAGTCTATGGCTCTTCTCCAATTCTCAGTTACCAACTGGAAAGCTGTTTCTGTGGAATATTTTTTTCGAAAGCCTGCTTGCGCCTCCACTAAAATTTTGTTTTCTTCTATAAACTGCATTAATTGGTCATGCACTATGGACTCTAATAATTTTTCAATGTCTGGTAACACATTTACTGGTCTCATATCGCTGCATCTTTTAGAATTTTTTATTTTGGGAACTGGTGTTATTGTAGAGCATTTCAAATTTTCAGGAAAAGAACTGCTTCTCAGTGAACAATTGATCCAATTTAATACAGGATATCCCAAAATTTCGAAACAATTTGTCAGCACGTTTTTAGTAGTGATTTCGGCACAGTTGTTATTTGATTTTAAACTGTTTACTTTTTTCTTAGATAATTCAATGACTCGACTACTTCAATTTTTTCATCATTAATCACGAGCCTAATTGTATTGTCACCTAAATGTTTCCCTATTTGACATACGTTTTGTTTTATTAGTGTCTAATTTAAGTTTATTAATATTGAACCAATTCATTTTTTTTATATCACTAACAGTTCTAAAATAATGACCAAATGTATGTCTGCAAATATTTGAATTTGCAGTGTTCTAAAAGGTCAGAGATATCATTTATATAAATAATAAACAATAACGGCCCTAATTTACTACCCTAGAGCACCCCTAATCATACATTTTGAACGCTTGACATAATATTTGCAACTTCAGTTTTTGACTTCTATTTACTAAATAATTTTGTAAAATGTTGAACACCGATCCTTAAAAACCATAGTGATGTAATTTCGTTAACAATTTTTTCCTATCTATGGTTTCAAATGCCCTTTTCAAGTCTTAAAATACTGTTACAATACCTACATTCTTTCTCACCGATGTTTCTTCTCCAGTCCTCCACCACCATTTGACTTGCTGTGTAGAATATTTTTTTATAAATCCAGCTTGACTTTTTGTCAAAATGTTGTTTTTTTCAATGAATTCAAGTATTTGTTCGTATATTATCCCTTCTTGACCAATGCCAATATTTGTATATGCTGAGAATGTTGAACTTTTGGCACAGAAGTAATGGTGGAACACTTTAATTTTGATCGGAATTCACCGTGTACTAAACAATGATTCGTCAATAATAATAATTTCTCTCCAATTACATTGAAACAATCATTTAAAATATTTTTTTGAGAGATCTTCACTTGCATTTTTATTAGATTTTAATTCTGATATAGCTTTTCTTAGATTGTTTATATTTACGGTCCTAAATTGATTCATTGATGAATTATAATATACTTTGAATGAATATAAATTAGCTCATGAAAATAAACTATACGCTTACTATAAAAATATACACACTGGTTCCTCGTTACAAAAACGTAACACCATGATGTAATAATTGTGTAAGGGTCAGGACGTTTTTACCATTCGCACCGAAGGTCCCTTTTTCTTTTTAAGCTTCGTACCGTACAAAAATTGTACCACATGATCCAAATGCTAAGCAAAATATGAAATTACAAAAGATGAAAATGAATGTCTGTTGTTTCAGCTCCAACTGAATTGCCAACTCGCAAAGAAAACATAGCCGTGTACAGGGGATACGCAATGCTGACAATCAAATCCACATATGGCGTCGAATTGTATTGTTCTGATGACCTTGCTGGATGTGGAGTGATCCTGTCTGGATTCTATCACGCTCAGGTCAAGGGACTGCTTGGAAACGGCAACAACGAGCCTTACGACGACTTTACTATTCCCAATGGAAAGATCGTTGTGTCTGAAGGTGAATTTGGAAACTCCTACAAGATTGGCAACTGTCCACAGGTAATTTGATTAACGCCAAATACTTTATTTCAGGGACGGCTGGCCCTTAAGTTCTGCAGAGCTGCAGAACTGCCAAAACTTTTGTCTTAACAGAAAAAATCAGTAGTAATTTGATCATTATTTATTTGCCATGTTATCGCACAAATAGAAACAATACCGGCAACGCTGCCCCCGCAAGACACGGCGTCGAGTCTGTTTTGTACTGAGAAAGCATTATAATCGACCAATTGTGTAGTTGTCATTTTCGTCGCGACCGCAGCGTAACATTATTCATGGGCCACTTGAAAAGGGTCTGTGCACTACTTCGCTTGTTTTTGTCTCTCTCTACAAAATCAAATGCGCCATTTAAGCATAAGCATGCGCTGCAAGTTATACAGATCCGTACAGATCTAATGCGAACTAGATTTTTTAATAATTCTCTCAACGCGTAGAGGTACTGAACAGAATTGTGGGAAAAAATTCCCCAAGGAGCAACAACTCGTTGGAATTTTAATATTCGAATAATAAATGTAGTGTTTGAGAACAGAGAATCACTCACTGAATGCATGGAAGAAATAGAAGAAAATTTCACTGATGAAACCGTTTGCGAGGCAGCTTGCGGTATTCGCCGTATGTTAAACGATTCTGTTTTCGTGTTTTGGTTGACATTTTTACATCATGTCATGCCTCACGTCGACATCTTGTTCAACCAGTTGCAGAAGAGAAAAACCGAGCCAGCGCAAGTTAAAACGGCTGTCGATAATTTTGAAAAATGTATTGTCGATGTGAGAAATAAAATTGATGACATAATAAATGAAGCCAAAAGTATTTGCACTGAACCCCAAGGCAACAAAAGGAGACGACGTAATAATAGCAGTCACGATCACCGAGTTGCCGCATTAGAAGTATGCGACTATATAGTGAATTCTGCAAATGACAGATTTCAATTCAAAGATCAATTGGCGGCCGCATCCCTTTTTTTCCTCGAACACTTTGGAGAATACTGTGGTAAGTTTCCTGATGACAAGTTGGAAACTACCTGCTTGGCTTATCCCGAATTAGAAAAAAGTCGTTTAAAGACAGAGTTGTCTGTTATTTATGCACGGAATGATTGCCGAGATTTACATGGAACTCTGACTCTTTTGAAAGTTTTGATACAAAATAGTTTGGAGGAAACACTAAAAGAAACAAAAAAGCTATTAGAAATTATTGTTACAACTCCTATGTCAACATCAGAGGCTGAGCGAAATTTCTCAACATTGAAAAGAATCAAGATCTTTCTTCGAAATACTATGACCCAGGATCGCCTTACAGCGTGATCCGCAAATTTGCTGCCAAGAAGCAGCGCAGAATCGAACTGACATATAAAAAATAGCTAAGTCCGGATTTGCAGAACACCTGTTTAATTTTGCCACGAGCCGCCATTGCTTTATTTCTTCCTTTAGGTTGAGGTTCGACAAAGTATGGGTGTAGTTCTTAGTAATATCAGTTGAAATTAAATCATACCCCCACTCAATCCACTTTAAGGCCCTTATAACCTTGTATGATATTGCGTCAATATCTTGCATTTATCTTGAAAACCATGAAATACTTCTAAAGTCTATCCTGGTAAATCTGAAGCCAAGAATCACCTAAAATGTTTTCTTAAAGGGGTGATAACCAAAAGATTGTCAGCAAAAACGTTTAACAACTCTAGAGATTGATGGTGTGAGGTCTGCAAGCCGGAAGATATCGGTAGGAGTGCCTCAAGGTTATGTACTAGGTCCCATACCCTTTCTCATATGTACTAATGATTTCCTTAACAATGGAATAATGTCCAAGTAGACGCTCTTTGAAGATGACACATCAATACCTCTTGCAGTTTGTTGGAAGTACATCGAACAGACGCTGAATTGGAAAAAGCCAAAATCTGGTTTTATTTCAACAAGTTGTTACTAAATGGCAAATGAGAGACCTAAACATCCAAAATGAAGATCAATTAAAATGTTTAAGTTTGACACTTGACTCTGAACTCCAATGGAAAATCAGCATTGATGTTTTAAGTAAATTCTACAAAGTAAAGCTATTAGAAGCATTTTAAATAAAAACAAATATTCTAGGATTAAGTCTATGTAAGAAGAAATGCAGTTGTTGAATGTAAAACATTCCATATATTATTTAGTTCTCATTCTCATTACCAGCTTCACAAAATTATATAGTCATTATCATAACTACGAAAGTAGAGGCACTATAGATTTTCATCTGCAAAATTGTAATAGTAGCATAACTACCAAATCTGTATTGTGTGAGCATTGGAATTTAATAAATTATACAGGGTGTCCGCAAAGTTGGGGCTTTCCTTTTCAGAAACAACTACCCTTGAAATAATAAAGGTAATGTGTAGTGAAACGAGGGCGACCAAGTAAAAAAAAATAAAGGAAAAAGTACTCACTCTCCAGTTGACGAGAAGGGCTAAGTACGTCTCTGCCCGAAATCATACCGCTCCAACAGAAAATGAAATCAGCTGATGCGCTACAGGCAGACGCAGGCAAACAAGGAAGGCAAAATGTTACGTAAAAAGTCTAGGTATTTCATCCCGTCCAATCGATTTGGGAGAATAAATGGTCCAATGAGCATACCGTTCACCATGCCAGCCCAAACATTATTCACCCCATTACGCGTGAACGTAGATTCGTCTGTCACCAAAATGCACTTCAAAAAGTCCGGATTATTGTCATGTTGATGCAACAACCACTCACAAAACCAGACTCTTGCTGGAAAATCGTCAGGTTGAAGGGCTTGTACACGTTGGACGTGAAACGGATACAGCCCCTCTTCACGCAGCGTTTGCCACACTTTAGTTTTTGATACTTGCACTTCTCTAGCCACGTCTCTAGTGCTTGTTGTTTTTTGAAACGCAATCGTTTATACGTGTTCGTTTACCTCTACACGCGTGAGCGTAACCGTCGGTTGAAGGTTGCATACTGACCTGACACACTGACCCCGACCCAGTTCTGTCGTCGGGTTGAGCTAGTGTTCTAGTGCCAGTCGGGGATGTCGCGGCTACAGGACGGTATTCAGATATTTTTGATGTTGCAGAGCCCTTTATCTCGGTTCCCTTAAGATATTGGTGTATATGGTACTAAGAAAAATTGCTTATGTTTTCAAGATCTACACGTCGTGTAAAGGAAAACCCCAACTTTGCGGACACCCTGTATAATGATATTAAACAGTGTTCGAATTTAAAAACGTTTAAGGTGAAACTAAAAAATCACTTTATGAATAAAATGTATTTTAATAGTCAAAAATGTAAAATTACAGAAAATGGATTCAAAAAAATGTGTAAATAAATAATAATTATACGAAATTGAAATTGTAGCATTAATGCTAAATAAATCTTCAACAGCAACAACAATAACTTAAGTCACCGAAAAGTCAAAGCTTCTACAGCGTTTATCTCAAAATGTCAACAAATTGATACTTTTTGTCCAAATAAAAACGTTTGCAATCCAGAATGCTGATTCTCCATTGGATACGAGGGATGTCTTTTAAGTTTTGCATATGGAAATAAAACAACACGGTATGTAGTTTTAAATGACTTTATTGTTTTTCGAAGTATTCTCCACGAAGATTAATATATGTACATCTGCATGTGCTCGAACCAATTTTCGAAGCACTTGTTCCACTGGTTTGCTGGCAGATCCAAAACGCCATTTTTGAATGCGTCAACCGCTTCTTCTGGTGACTGGAACCTTTGACCACGCAGTCCGTTTTTAATTTTCGGGAAAGTAAAGAAATCGTTAGGACTTAGATCGGGACTATATGGAGGATGGTCCAATAATTCCACGTTTTCTGCCGTTAAATACTGCCTTGTTTTTTGGGCTGTGTGCGAGCTTGCATTGTCTTGTGGAGGATGATTCTTCTTTCGGGGCTGATTTTTCGAAGCTCGGTGATGGCTTTTGGCAAACAAATGGTGGTATACCAAACCGCAGTAACAGTGCTTTGATCATTAAGGGGAATTGTTGCTATATGACCCGCTTTTGACACAAATGTCACGACCACCTTTTTCGAAACACTTCGAGAACGGATGACTTTTGTTGGCTTTTCTTCACCTTGGAACCAAACAGCCGACTGTCGCTTATTTTCTGGTTCATAACAGTAAATCCACGATTTATCACAACTAACAATGCTGTACACATTTTTTGAGTTTCCGGAATTAAAACGGTCAAGCGTTTTTTGACACCAATTAACCCTGGCTGCTTTCTGCTCTTCAGTCAACAGGTGGGGGATCCAACGAAAAACTAATTATCTCACTCCTAATTCTTCATGTAAAATTTTTTTAATTGAGGTCTTTGAGATCTTCGAGGACGCCTCAATCTCGCGATATGTCACATGTCTCTCTTAAATGAATCGTCGCTAAGAGTCACCCGTTCACGTTTGAATTCTCCATACCAACCGGAAATTGTCGACTGATGTGGCGCTTCGTTGCCGAAAACAGACAGTAACTCAGCAAGGCATTCTTGTTGGGATAATTGTCTCTGAAAGTTGTAATAAATTATGGACTTGGTGACACTTAAAAATTCACTGTACTGAGAATACTGCACGTATTGCTGTGAAACCTTGAATTTATGTTTCTATATGCAAAACTTAAAAGACATCCCTCGTATTATATAATGTACGGAAGTTGCTTAATACGATTTTTGACATTTATTTATTTGTGTATTCTAATCAGATGTGTTCTGTTTCCAGGTGAACGTACCCAAACATGCGGACCACAAGAACGTCCCCGAATGCACGAAACTGTTCAGTTTCGAATCTTCAATGCGGTACTGCTTCCCCTTCGTTAGTACCGAAAAGTTCAAGACCGCCTGCGTCCATGGAAAAGAAGGCGGCGTCAAGGATACCGAACTTAACATCGCCAAAGCATACGTCGCCGCCTGCCATGTTCACAACATTCCTATCAGTGTGCCATCACATTTGGGTAAGAATACTAATCTATAAATACAAATTCATTACACCACAAATGGCGTGAAAGCTAGAGGAGAATGATCGTTTTGAGCCTTTCTTCTTCTGTTGTCTAAAAGTGGCCAATATACAGGGTGTTTCAGTTTATTGTTGCATAACTTTAAGATTCGATAGAACTTTTAAAATTAATGTATAAAGTCTATATAAACATGGGTCGAAAAATGCGTGGCTTCCGAAATACAGGGTGTTTAAATTTACTTTCTAAAATTGTTTTTTTTAATTATTTCGAACAATATTTGATGTATAACAGTGAAAATTGGTATACAAGGGTTTTTTGGTACGACAAAACGAACCATGGATCGGAGCATTTAACCTTGCAGGCAAAAGGTAGGGTCCAAATAGTCGATTACGGTAGATACCAATCCACACGTTCACACTAAATTCATGCTGAAAATTTCTTTCCCGAACTGCATCCGAATTTTCATGCGACCAAATATGTTGATTATGAAAATTTACCACTCCACGTCTAGTGAAGCATGACTCATCGGTCCATAAAACGTTACTTAAAAACTCCCTATTATTATCAGTTCTATCAAGAATCCACTGACAAAATGTGATTCTTCGTTCTCCGTCCCCTGGCTGTAGTTCTTGCACAGGTTGCAAATGGTAAGGACGTCTATGGTCATTTCTAAGAACACGGTGAACATGGCTTGCTGAAATTCCCAAGGCACCAGAAGCTCTCCTAACACTTGTGGTCGGATCTCTATCAAACTCACGCAGAATCATACGGGTAAATCTGCGCTGACGAACATTTATGTTTTGATCCCTTTGGAGATTTCCAAAACCATTTTCACTTATTTGGCGATGCACTCTTACAAATACTGAGCGAGTTGGATGTCGTCTGTTTGGAAATCTTCGTGCGTATTCTCTGGCTGCTTCTGCTGCGTTTCCATTTACAAAGCCATACACAAAATGAATATCCGCTAACTCTTGATTGGAGAATAAAAATGGCATTTTTTTAAAACTTACAAAAATAAACAGGTAAAAGAAACTAAATTTCGTGCATTCACAATTGCAAAAAAAACGTTTCAGGTTTCAACAGACAACAAAACTAACTGTCAACTAATTGACGTTTAACCTTATTCTGCTTTCAATTTCAAAAATATTTGCAGGCTCAGCCTACTTCTAAAAATTATCGAGATACTGACTTTTTAACGTTATTTTATCATAAATAATTAAAAATGCATCGAACCTTAAACTTCGAAATATCTCAAAAACGGCTAACTATAACGAAAATTTACAAGAGAGCTTTTTTATGTTGAAAAGTGCGAAGAATGAGTTTTTTTATTCAAAAAGCAAAAATTTAATACACTACAGGTACAGTAGAGAGCACCCTCTAGCGGCTACAGTAAAACTATGCCCATGGTTCGTTTCGTCGTACCAAAAAACCCTTGTATACCAATTTTCACTATTATACATCAAATATTGTTCGAAATATTAAAAAAATAACTATTTTAGAAAGTAAATTTAAACACCCTGTATTTCGACCCATGATTATATAGACTTTATGCATTAATGTTAAAAGTTCTATCGAATCTTAAAGTTATGCAGCAAAAAACTGAAACACCCTGTATATATATATATACAGGGTGTCCCAGAAGTCGACGTCAAGTCGAAACCGGGTGATGGGCAAAGTCATAACAGCTGTCTGAAAAATATTTAAAAAATGTTATGTATGTGTTTTGAAAATTATAGGTCTTTGAAAAAAATATAGAAATTTCACACCCTACGGCAGTCTCTCAACTCCTGTTACTACAAATATTAACTTTTTTTGGATTTTATTTTTACAATGTAATGATCTGATCTGAAATCTTCAAACTGGTGTCTCAACCTTACTGCCAACTTTTCTCGTTCAGGAAAAATTGCCACTTATTTTCCAACCAAGTATTCCAAAGTAAAACTTTGCTCAACTTTAACTGGCTGTACTGGAAAAAAATGTACTACGAGAGTTTGGCAAGTAACCTTAAAAGATGGCGCATTTAATAAGGATTCCAAAATGGTATAACACTTAGAAGATTACTCGTTAACTTATGCACAATTTTTATTTGAAGAAAAACTGTTGAAAATTTTTCAAAATTTCCTAATTAAACAGCAATTAGGAAAACGCACAAGGACCCTTAAGGATAACTGTTTGCACAACAGTGGGCGTCAAAATGCTGCTGATGATGATTTACCTTTACAGCAAATGCTCAAACTGCTTTCCTTCAGCCGCAATACACGCTCGACATCTTCTTAAAAAAGATCGGGTTATTAAACGATCGAATCCACGGTTATTAACAAACTCAGCTGCTTCCAATAGTCATTGCCGTAGCTCAGCTACATTTTGATTCGGCTTGAAATACACTTTTTCTTTTACAGTTCCCCAGTAAAAAAAATCTAACGGATTCAAATTTGGTGACCGGGCTGGCCACGGTATTGTACCAGACCGCCCTATCCTGGAAAGTTTTGATCGAGATACTCTCTCACTGAGAGTGCATAGTGCGCTGGGCAGCCATCATACTGAAACCACATGTCCCTGTAAATACTCAGTGGCACGTCCTCCAATAAATTTTCTAAATGATTTTGCAAAAAACCTAAATAAACCTCAGCAGTCAAAGTCTCTGGGAACTCAAACGGACCGATTATTTTACCATTTAAAATTCCTGTCCAATGGTTTATCTTGAAGCGATATTGAGATTTATCTTCTCTCATCAAATGTGGGTTTGCTACGTGCCACTCGTGTAAGTTATGCAGGTTCATGTACCCATCTTTCTTAAATGTGGTCTCATCTGACCATAAAATTTTTTCAAAGAACCGTGGATCTTCCCTGTGTCTTTCTAACATTGTGCGACAAAAAGCAACTCGGGGCTCATAATTCCGGGGCAGAAGAGCTTGAACACGCTGTACGTGGTATGGATGGAGCACGTTTTTTTGCAAGATTCTATGGGCTGTACTTTTGTGTACACCTGTTTTTAGTTCTATTGCACGCACTGAAGTACTCGAGTCTTCTTCGACAGCTCCTTGCACCACGTCTTCGTAAGGAAGGAAAGATCTTCCCTCACCGTGTGATTGGTTTGGTAGTTGGCCCTCTGAGAACAGTAAGCGGTGCACATTTGTGAACACTCGATGATCTGGATGACGAGCTGCATTCGGGTACCTCTCGCAGTAAAGTCTCGCTGCAGCACTAGCGTTGCATCTGCATTCCCCATAAATGAGGTGCATGTTAGCATATTCTTGTACGGTGTACATGGACATACCGGCACTGCACAATCACACTATCAAAAATAGTCTAAGGAAAGCAAATGTTGTTTTGAAGAGCAATTAAACAGTCCAAATCCAAATCACAAGCGATCAACAGTCCAGTTCACGAATCCAAAATTAGTAACAGTCCGAAATCAACAAGCACGAGCATGTAAAGATGCGCAGTAAACGAAGGAGTATTGATCGGTATCAAAGTGTGCAATAGCAAGTAAGTGATGTGCTTCATCCATACCACATATAGCGTGTTCAACCTCTCCTGCCCCGGGATTATGAGCCCCGAGTTGCTTTTTGTCGCACAATGTTAGAAAGACACAGGAAAGATCCACAGTTCTTTGAAAAAATGTTATGGTCGGATGAGACCACATTTAAGAAAGATGGGTACATGAACCTGCATAACTTACACGAGTGGCACGTAGCAAACCCACATTTGATGAGAGAAGATAAATCTCAATATCGCTTCAAGATAAACCATTGGACAGGAATTTTAAATAGTAAAATAATCGGTCCGTTTGAGTTCCCAGAGACTTTGACTGCTGAAGTTTATTTGGATTTTTTGAAAAATCATGTACAAAATTTATTGGTGGACGTGCCACTGAGTATTTACAGGGACATGTGGTTTCAGCAAGATGGCTGCCCAGCGCACTATGCACTCTCAGTTAGAGAGTATCTCGATCAAAACTTTCCAGGCAGATGGATAAGGCGGTCTGGTACAATACCGTGGCCAGCCCGATCACCTGATTTGAATCCTTTAGATTTTTTTACTGGGGAACTGTAAAAGAAAAAGTGTATTTCATGCCGATTCAAAATGTAGCTGTGCTACGGCAAAGACTGTTGGAAGCAGCTGAGTTTGTTAATAACCGTGGATTCGCTCGTTTAATAACCCGAGCTTTTATAGGAAGATGTCGAGCGTGTATTGCGGCTGAAGGAAAACAGTTTGAGCATTTGCTGTAAAGGTAAATCATCATCAGCAGCATTTTGACGCCCACTGTTGTGCAAATAGTTATCTTTAAGGGTCCTTGTGCGTTTTCATAATCGCTGTTTCATTAGGAAATTTTGAAAAATTTTCATCAGTTTTTTTTCAAATAAAAATTGTGCATAAGTTAACGAGTAATCTTCTAAGTGTTATACCTTTTTGGAATCGTTATTAAATGCGCCAACTTTTAAGGTTACTTGTCAAACTCTCGTAGTACATTTTTTCCAGTACAGCCAGTTAAAGTTGAGCAAAGTTTTACTTTGGAATACTTGGTTGGGAAATAAGTGGCAATTTTTCCTGAACGAGAAAAGTTGGCAGTAAGGTTGAGACACCAGTTTGAAGATGCATCATTCATCATTACATTGTAAAAATAAAATCCAAAAAAAGTTAATATTTGTAGTAACAGGAGTTGACAGACTGCCGTAGGGTGTGAAATGTCTATATCTTTTTCAAAGACCTATAATTTTCAAAACACATACATAAAATTTTTTTAAATATTTTTCTGATAGCTGTTATGACTTTGCCTATCACCCGGTTTCGGCTTGACGTCGACTTCTGGGACACCCTGTATATATTATTTCAATGCAACATGTTTGATATAACAAATATGTAATGCGTATAGCAGCATGAAATATCGTCTTTTACTTTAAAATGTTTCCATCAGTTTCTTAAAATTATACCGTCTCAAAGTTTTCGATGCTACCATTAAATGTTATGAAAAAGTTAGGATTATCCTATTCTCTAAAGACTACTTTTTTAAATATTTCAATTGTTATAATAACTATCCATGTCAAGATATGTATAATATCACATCATTAAAATCTGAAATAGAGACTGATTAACCATGTCCACTTCATAAATAGTCAAGGTATGCAAGATATGGAACAAAAGAGTATCTGATAATTTCAATAAATAACTTTGATGATTTAAGACAAGAGAAAACACCAATATGAAAAAACAAAGTTGGTGATGAAAGTCGAAAGCAGAAACCTCGAATTAGGTCATCTCGTACAGGAAAACAAGTGACAATAACGGTATGCTATTTATTTTGGAATTTCATCTCAAAGAAAGAAAAACTGAAAATGTTTATGCGATAGATCGGGCATATGGAAGAAATCACTGTCTGATAATTACCTAAAAAATTTTTATTTTTTAAATAACTAAGGTTTGGTAATGTCAATGTATTACATATTATAGGTTTTTTGAATCAGAATTAAAAACTCTATTCTATAAAATACAATATAGCGTCCGTAAGAAAAAATAAAGTTGACGTTGAATTTATTTTATTTTTCCTTGATTTCTGTTGCTTCGAGACATGGGCACCGCTCGTAATAAAAATAGCGATATTCTCAGCAAAAAGCAATTGCAGCTGTAAACGGTGTATTTTTACCTAGCATTGCAACAAATTGAAAGCCCAAAAGTATTAAACTACGGCCCTGAAAATATTACGAGCAATTTCGATAAAAACATTTTTGTTTCAGTACATTGCGAAAATGCTGACAAAGCCTACGGTGTTGGAGACAAATTCAGCGTAAAGCTCCCAGGAAAAGCGGCTGATATCATCCTGTTGGTTGATACTGCCAAAGAAAACGAAGGAGTTTACAAGGACTTGATACAACCAATTGTTGCTGACGTTTCCAAAGAACTAAAAGGCAAGGGAATTAGGTGAGTTTTCTCGACAATTTATCTTGATTGGATATTCTAGGACAGTCAACATAAATAACTATGTTTAAACAATTTGATTCATTTTTCAATTAAACGCACTCATTTGGTTTGGAGGGACATACAGGGTGGGCCAAAAGAAGCTGACCTATTGTAAACTTTAATAACTTTTTTATTTATTAATATTTTTAATGTAGTTTTTTCAAAAATAAAATATATTAATTGAATTTTTTTTTTATATTAAGTTTAAAAAATAATGTCGCGTAAGTGACGGACATTTTCTCTTTCACACACAACATTCCTTTCCAAGACATTGTTCATAACTGCCTCCAATGTTTCCCGATTTATGGCTCGAATTTCCATTATGATATTGTCCATAAGTTGTCTTACGATTCGAGGTTTATTGCGGTAAACTCTTTCTTTCAAATATCCCCATAGATAAGAATCTGGCCCGGTTAAATCAGGGGAACATGGGGGATATTCAATTGCCGATCTTTTTGAAATCAGACGTTCTCCAAAGAATCCTCTTAGCAATGCCATTGTGGCTCCAGCTGTATGAGCTGTGGCTCCATCCTGTTGGAACCACATATCATCTATTTTCAAGCGCTGGAATCAAAAAATCTTCAAGCATAGCTGTATATTTTGAAAGAAATAAGGCCCAATAATACCCTGGGTGGCAACACCACCCCGAACCGTACATTTAATGGGGTGTAATTCTCTCTCGTGTACAGCCCTTGGATTTTGCCTTTCCCAAATTCTTGCATTTTGCGTATTCACAAAACCATTCAGATGAAAATGCGCCACATCACTCATTATTAGACGATTTAAAAAATTGTCTTCCTCTCGAACCAATTGCCGAAAACGGATGGCATAATTTAGTCGTTGTGCATAATCTTGTGGTCGTAAGTGCTGAACCATTTGAATTTTGTAAGGAAACAGCCGCAAATGTTTCAAAATTCTCCCGAGGGATGTCCTGGAGAGGCCTAATCGAGTTGACCCTCTTCTGGTCGATGTTTCGGGGTCCTCCTGAACACTTTCCTCTACTCTCTCTATGTTTTCTCCAGTGAAAGCTAAACGTGGTCGTCCAGTTCGAGGAAGGTCCGATACAGAACCCTGGGTTTGGAAACGCCGAATAATGCTGCGGATAGTCCCAGCGGATGGGGCGTTTCGAACATTAAAAAATCTTCGATAAGCTCTCTTGGTGTTTACAATCGAATGATTATGTTCATAGTAAAATTGTACGACTTCTCTCTGGATTAGATTAAGTCTCTCCATTCTAAAATATCCAGAGATCTACTTTGTAAATCTGATAAAAAAATCAAATATGTTAACTTGGGAAAAACTTATAAATTTTTAAAATCAGTCAGGAGCTTTTGGCCCCTCTGTAGATAACAACTTTCATCTTCTGTACTCCTCGATGTCAGTTCAATATCGAATCAAACTATGGATTTATCAAATTTTCAGCTAATTATTTCAAAAACTAAACTAATGTCTCCTTCCAGTTTTGTAGTAACATGTTATATGCGATCATTGGGGGGAAACATCAGTATGACAAAATAATTCAAAAACAAGACGATAGCTTCCTTTATTTTTTGTCAACTTTTTAATGCCTAACAAGCTTCACATCATCAATTTCTATTAATATTTTATTGACAATGAAAATAATGCGGAAAATACTTATAATTGCCGCAGATATCATACTTTCTTATTGAAATAATATCTTAGTATCTGTCTCAAAATACGTTTACCAATCATTAAAACTACCATCATATGATATTGTGAAAAGTATTTATTGAAAACATTTTCTCGTCATTTCCAGTGATGTCCAGTTCCATCTGATAGCCCACGGTGGCGAAAACCAATGGCCAAGTCACGTGACAGTTGACGGTGGAAAGCTGACATTTGAACAGAATGCTCCGGACATCAAATTCGCCGCAAACCCCAAACACGAACATATCTCTGATAGCGTTGGTAAGTAAAGGATATTAATAAAATAAATAAAATATACAGGGTGTTTCGGTTTATTGTTGCATAACTGAAAGATTCGATAGAACTTTTAAAATCAATGCGTAAAGTCTACATAAACATGGGTCGAAAAATGCGTGGCTCCCGAAATACAGGATGTTTAAATTTACTTTCTAAAATAGTTTTTTTTAAATATTTCGAACAATATTTGATGTATAACAGTGAAAATTGGTATACAAGGGTTTTTTGGTATGACAAAACGAACCATGGGCATAGTTTTACTGTAGCCGCTAGAGGGCGCTCTCTACTGTACCTTAGTGTATTAAAATGACCGAAAAATTTTTCTTAGTGCAATTTTTTGCTTTTCGAATAAAAAAACTGATTCTTCGTACTTTTCAACATAAAAAAGCTCTCTTGTGAATTTTCGTTATAGTTAGCCGTTTTTGAGATATTTCGATTTTTAGGGTTCGATGCATTTTAATTATTTATGATAAAATAACGTTAAAAAGTCAGTATCTCGATAATTTTTAGAAGTAGGCTGTGACTGCAAATATTTTTGAAATTGAAAGCAGAATAAGGTTAAACGTCAATTAGTTGACAGTTAGTTTTGTTGTCTGTTGGAACCTGAAACGTTTTTTTGCAATTGTGAATGCACGAAATTTAGTTTCTTTTACCTGTTTCTTCTTGTAAGTTTCATAAAAATGCCATTTTTATTCTCCAATCAAGAGTTAGCGGATATTCATTTTGTGTATGGCTTTGTAAATGGAAACTCAGCAGAAGCAGCCAGAGAATACGCACGAAGATTTCCAAACAGACGACATCCAACTCGCTCAGTATTTGTAAGAGTGCATCGCCAAATAATTGAAAATGGTTTTGGAAATCTCCAAAGGGATAAAAACATAAATGTTCGTCAGCGCAGATTTTCCCGTATGATTCTGCGTGAGTTTGATAGAGATCCGACCATAAGTGTTAGTAGAGTTTCTGGTGCCTTGGGAATTTCAGCAAGCCATGTTCACCGTGTTCTTAGAAATGAACATAGACGTCCTTACCATTTGCAACCTGTGCAAGGACTACAGCCAGGGGACGGAGAACGAAGAATCACATTTTGTCAGTGGATTCTTGATAGAACTGATAATAATAGGGAGTTTTTAAGTAACGTTTTATGGACCGATGAGTCATGCTTCACTAGACGTGGAGTGGTAAATTTTCATAATCAACATATTTGGTCGCATGAACGTGTGGATTGGTATCTACCCTAATCGACTATATTGGACCCTACTTTTTGCCTGCAAGGTTAAATGCTGCGACCTTCTTGGAATTTTTAAAGGCTGAACATGCAAATACGTGGGATGATGTTATGTTAGATTTAAGAAGATTGACCTGGTTCCAGCTTGATGGTTGTCCAGCTCATTATTCGAGAATAGTTAGAAACTGGCTGGACGAAAATTATCCAGAAAGATGGATCGGCCGTGGAGGACCAGTCGCCTGGCCTCCACGATCCCCCCGATCAGGAATGCATGTGATGAAATAAGGCCTTATTTGAATAATGCTATACCACGTTCGATCATTCGTAGATGTGAATTGTGTATTGAACAATTGGGTTTACATTTCGAGCAACTACTTTAGATTTTGTATGTTTGTCCTAACTATCCAATAGCATTTTAGTTGTAAATAATTAATTTAATTTGTTAAAAATAATATTGGAATACTAAACAAATTAATATTCTGTTTTTTGTGTTTATTTGGAGAAAGGAATTATTGATGTGTTTAAAAACACAATCTAAACGATCATCTTAATTACTTGTAATTCCCAAATCGAAAATGTAAAAAAAATATTATTTTCCCATAAATAATTAAAAATGCATCGAACCTTAAAAATCTAAATATCTCAAAAACGGCTAACTATAACGAACACTAACAGGAGAGCTTTTTTATGTTGAAAAGTGCGAAGAATCAGTTTTTTTGTTCAAAAAGCAAAAAATTGCACTAAGAAAATTTTTTCGGTCATTTTAATACACTACAGGTACAGTAGAGAGCGCCCTCTAGTGGCTACAGTAAAACTATGCCCATGGTGCGTTTTGCCGTACCAAAGAACCTCTGTATACCAATTTTCACTGTTATACATCAAATATTGTTCGAAATATTTAAAAAAAACTATTTTAGAAAGTAAATTTAAACACCCTGTATTTCGGAAGCCACGCATTTTTCGACCCATGTTTATATAGACTTTATGCATTAATTTTAAAATTTCTATCGAATCTTAAAGTTATGCAACAATAAACTGAAGCACCCTGTATAATGAACAATATATAGGGTGTTCGAAAAATAGACGGAAATATTTTAGAGAGTGAGTCCTTTTTAAAAAATATGAAAAAAGCTTTTATAAACATGGGTCCGGAAATAAAGAGTGATTTAATAAATCAATAATTAAAAAAAATATTTTTTTAGAATATCTTAAAAAATCTTTATTTGATTCTGTTGAAATTTGGCAATATTATTTGTTGTATTAAGAGCCCCAAATAGGTTAAAATTATTAGGTCCAGTGGCGGCCCGAGGAGCACCTTAGGGAATATTAAAAATGTACGTTACTGTCTGTTTTGCAACTTTAAAATTGGTTTATTAATTTTTGCTATAGGAATCACCAGTGCCTTTGAAAAAAAATTAAAAAAATTCTAGGAAGAGTGTTATTGCAACTTTTCCAATAGGTACCATGACAGTATACTACAACAAATTAATAGTTTTTTTTTAAATTCATCACCTGGTACCTTGAAAACTCTGCATTTTCGGACACATGTTTATAGAAACCTTTTTTCATATTTTTTTAACAAGGACTCACCCTCTAAAATATCTCTGTCTATTCTTCGAATACTGATATTTTCTCTCCAATTATATTGAAACAATCATTTAGAATCTTTTTTGAGAGATTCTCACTTAGATTTTCATTAGATTTCAATTCTGAGATAGCTTTTCTCAGATTATTGATGTTTATTGTCCTAAATTGGTTCATTGGTGAATTATCATATACTTGAAATGAACATAAGCTTGGATCACCGCCAACAATCGTCTTCACTATTTGATTTAAACTGTCTATAAAATAGAATCATTATCTCTCAAATAAATGGGGATACCTTTTTGAAAAACACTGATATCTAAAAAGAAAGCTAAAACACTTTCGCTTGTAATTTCTCTAATTTTAACCGTAGGCCTCAACAAATAAGCTTATGTTATCCTTTTACTCACAGGTGCTACCCTGAAACCATACCTGGAAACCCTGGAAAGCGTGTTGCACGACCTGAAACTGGCATTGGGTATGACATTGGAAGCCAAGACGTACAACGAAGCTATCAGCTATCCATTCCGAGCTCATGCAGTCAAAGCTATAATTGCTGTAAACAGCAAACCATGTGAAGTCGGCAGATTGCACCTGGTAAATAATATTGTTACTTCTAAAAATTATAAACTATTTGTTAGCAATTTAAAAAGTCGACCTTCCGCGTTGATAGGCTAATAAATCCTAAAACTGTTAAACGAATCAGGTCTGCTGAATCAATGCTTTAAATATTGTAATGAAAATACCGTTTTCACTATCCAAAGTCTAATTTATTACTTTTGCACTAATTTCTAACACATACTAATTCATGCCAATTTATAACCATGTTGACCAGTCTACAACATTCCGCGTTATTCGACTCTTTCGTCGCGGACTAACTGCCTCTGCCATCTGGTCGGGTATTTATCCCCTATCGACGCATTGAGAAATATTCAATTCGTGAACTTCTATGGAATTAGTGTAGATGGCACCAGGTACCTCTAGATGGATCTCGCTTATTCTTGGATCTTAGCTCTTTCTTAGACAGCGGCGCAAGCGCACACACACGGTCGCGTAACTGGTTACCTGAGGCGCCTCCTCGCCGCTCAATGTCCCAGCTATACGAGGGCGTTACAATATATTCGCAATGCGTTAAATACTCACCCTCAACAGTGAAGACTTCCGGTTGGTTAAAAAATCCGCGGAGGATTATCATTTTTGGAAACAAAAGGTTGTTGTGTTTTCGAAGAAAGTTTTGGGTATCTCTTGAGGCTGTTATCAATATAGCTCTGACTATTCAAAGCTTCACCCCTCAATCTTCCCACAAAAGGTTTCGATACACCCCTGTTGGAAATTGCGCACCAGACAAGGATTTTATCTGCAAATTTCGCTTTATGTTTGTATCTAACATTGTCCGTATAAAATCCGTCGTTTCCCTTCATTTCAGAATTACTCAAACTGAAATACTTTTCGTCATCGAAATTAAGAGTTGCACTTGAGAGTATTTGGGCCACTTAAGTCTCTTTCGATATTTAAGACTATTCCTCCTGAATTCCAACGATATCGTACTCTTAAAAGGTCTGTATTGACGAGCCAGTCTCCTTGTTGACATTCCAACCTGATTTTTTGCTCTTCTCACCAATCTCTCTGTACTCTGTAAATGCACGTGGTCTTCCACTTTTTGGGAGATTTAGACATGCTCCCACTCCGCTATTGTTTCTCGTATTTCTAATTTATACGACATCTTAAAGCGAAAACTTCAAAATAAATAAATATCTTTATTGCCATTTGACTTGAAAAAGTATCAGCAAAATGTCAATGATGAATGAGAAAAGAAAATACCTTAAAGTTGTGATCGAGTCAACACTAAGTAAATTAAATAATATGTACAAACATATTGTACTCAAAATAAAAACATAAACAAACAAATTAAAAAGTTGTGCTAGAAGATAATTTACATCTGCCATTATTAATGTTGTTCCCTATGGGATAGATAACTTTCTATCCAATTTAAAGCGGTTCCTCTGACTCCGTAGTTATTAAGCTTTTCACACAGTATCGAAAGCGCGGTGAAAATCTATAAAGAGACAACAGGAGTTATCTTTCTTTTCAAGGCATGTTAAGACAAAGTCACACATAGAGAATACTGCATCTATTGTAGATAGGTTTTTCTGAAATCCAACTTGGTACCTGTTGATGATATTGAATTTGTCAGCAAATTTTATCATTTCATTATAATAAGCGTTTTCGAAGAATTTTGCGAATACGGATAACAAAGAAATGCCCCTATAATTAGACGTCATCAATATCATCTTTTTTATAGATTGGTATAACAAGTGATTCCTTCAGCTTATAAGGAAACATGCCTGCAAAAGACAGATTTAACAGTGCTCTTAGAGGTTTCAGTAGGAATGAGCAAGCCTGCTGACTTCTTTTTTGCGACGTGTTTTAATAGCTCAACAGCTTCATCTTCAGTAACTGCGCTTAAAAATATGGAATTTGTATTGATGGGATGTAGAGTTGGTACATGCTGCCCACCCAAAGTCATAGACTTAGTCAGTTCCAGAATTTATAAAGAAATTATTAAACGCGTCAGCAGCTTCCTTGGATGATCGTTATCAGAAATAATCTCAGAAACTTGTCTTTTTGTTTGTTTTGAATTGGCACTGATGATTTCCTAAGCAGTCTTACTCTAATTGCTAGACTTAGCAATTTTATTATCAGAGCAGTCTCGTTTTGTTTCCAATAATTTTCTTTTATGTTCTTTAATCAGTAGTTTATATCGTCCAGTCAACTCAGTATCATTACTTATTTTTGTAGCAAAATGTAACTCTCTTAAAAACTTACTTTCGTCAATCATTTCTTTGGTTATCCAGCAATTCTTATATACTAAGTGACATATTAATCCGAACACCCAGTTTAAATGGTTTTATTTTAATAAAATTTTGTATAAGTACTTAATGAAGCATAATAAGTAAATGATAAAAATTTCAAAATGATTGCACTGCTTTAAAGCCCTTTGACCTTTAATAATGTGTGGATGCACCCTGATGTGTTACGCATTCTCCAACGCGCCTAGGCATGCTTCTGATCAGGTGGTCAATGTCCTCCTGTGGTATCTCATTCCAGGCAACCACCAACTCATCTCGAAGTGCTTCTAGAGTCTGAGGAGGACGTTGCAAATTGAGCAATCTCCTACCCATCATATCCCACACGTGCTCAATTGGGGATAAGTCGGGAGATCTTCGTGGCCATGGTAACAATGTGACATCATCATGTTGAAAGAAGTCTATTGTGACTCTTGCAACATGTGGTCGGGCATTATCTTGTTGGAAAGTTGGATCTGCCAGGGTGTCAAGATAGGGTAAAAGATGGGGTTCTAGAACTTCGTGGATATAACGCTGCGCGTTCATGTTACCTCTGATGAAGATTAAAGGTGACCTGGAACCATAAGCTATAGCACCCCAAACCATAACTCCGACAGTGTGATGAACATGTCTTTCAACAAAAAACTGTGGATTCCTCCTTTCACCACGTCGCCTTCTAACCCTGGCACGACCATCGTGCATGCCTAAACAAAATCGAGACTCGTCACTAAAGACAATACTGTTCCATTCCTGATCCCAGAGTGACCGTTGTCTGCACCACTCAAGGCGATTACGTCGGTGTTCTCGAGTTAAAGGGAGGACCCAGTGTGGCCGGTATGAAAACAAGCCAAAACATCTCATTCGTCGGTAAACACTTCGCATGCCAATAGGTCTTCTGTGTTCTGCAAACCATGCATTTGCAATGGACCTGGTAGTGGAGAAACGGTCCCTTAAGGCCAATAATCTTAGGCGGCGATCTTCACGGTCTGTTGTTCTACGGCGGCGTCCAGTGCCCCTTGCTCTTTGCGTACGGCCTTCTCGAAGCCATGCCTGACAACACCTAACCACAGTGTCTACACTTCTTAGCACTCTAACTGCAATTGCCCGAAAAGAAAGTCCAGCTTCCCGAAGTTCCACTATACGGCCCCTATCAAACTCACTAAGTTGATGAAATCGTACAGGTCTCCGTACTCTAGGCATCTTAACCGATCGTAAAGGATGTCAAGAACCAAAATCCGCCAACATTGATTCTTTACTGTGGCTAAAATATTCATTTTTAGAGCGTTAGTGAATTAAAAAAAAGCAGTATAAAAACCGGAATGTCCAACTGATAAGGCTGAAAATTTTTTCACTTGTTATTTACAGTAAGATAAATACATTCACCAACTTTTATTAAAATAAAACCATTTAAACTGGGTGTTCGGATTTATATGTCACTTAGTATACTTTTGAGGAGTTTCAAATAAATATCAACTGACAGTAGAGTAAGTAAACAAACTTTTGTTTCCAAAGGCAACTTGATATCATTTTGTGTTTGTTAAAATGAAACCCAACGAATTTCGTGCAAAAACTTTCAGGACATACGTTGGTAGAGTGTTTACTTGTTCAGCAATCAAGAAATTGTTGATAATTTACGCTTCTATTTCATCTTATAGTTGCAGAAATTGAGGGCGTTACTGTACAAGGATAACAAAATCAGCCTAAACTTGGTCACACCCTTCCAAGGACTGAACGTGAAAGACGTGAAGAAGACGAAGGATGTGATTGGTTTCAACAACGATCACGTGTTTACGATGTCCAACAAAAAGCCGGAAGGCACAGCCGAGCTGTACAAGGATTTGGAATACTCGGACTTCTGCGCCGATTTCACGATCAGGGTGAGTTATGATCAGAAAATATGTGGATATTTCCTCTTTTTATGGCGGCGAGCACCAACCAAAAGGGGTCAAAACGAAATTTACAGCCGTAGATTAACAGTACAGTAGACCCCCGATAATCCGGCCCCTGTCTAATCCGGCGCCCCCTGTAATCCGGCATGTCTTTGAATATGTATTACATACAATCTTCGCTAATGTAGATCACGCAGGTTTGAACAGGTTACAACTTGGACGCGCCACCGCTATCGTGCTCGACGCGTAAGCATGGTTTTACTTAGTTTGAATTTGACTACTGGTGATAGCGGTACGGCCTAGCGTGCGTTCATTGTTTACTATTTATTCATTGTGTATTAAGTATAGAACCTAGTAATGTCATCACAAACTCAGAAGCGAAAGTACAAAACATTGACAAAGAAAAATGTGATATTTTAGACCGCTTAAATCGCAATGAAAGTTTCAGTAGCTTAGCAAGTGAATACGGCGTAGGTCGATCTACAATTTATGACATTAAAAGAAACCACTAGAAGATCAACTACTGACTGCGGGCCAGGCAAGAGACAGACACTCAAGAAAGCTGAACATCCAGAAGTGGAAGAAGCTTTGTACATGTGGTGTCTTCAGGAAAGAAATAGGCATGCACCAATTTCAGAACCCATGTTGTTCATGAAAAATAAGTTTTTTATAAGGAAATAACAAAAAAAGATGATTTTGTGGCCAGCAAAGGATGGCTCGAACGTTTTAAAAGTCGTCATGGCATACGTTTAATGACTATTATAGGAGAGAAACTTTCTAACGATGCCACCAGCATAGAGCCCTTAAAATTAAGATTTTTGCAAAAGGTGAATGATTTAAATCTTGACCCGTCACAGGTGTACAATGCAGACGAATCAGGGCTTTTTTTGGCGTGTAATGCCTAACAAAACTTTCGTTTCTTGTAACGAAAAATCCGTACCTGGACGAAAAGTAAGTAAAGAGCGTGTAACCATACTACCATGTGCTAACGCTGCCGGCACACACGCGCTTAAGATGATGATCATTGGGAAATCTAATAAACCACGGGCATTCAAAAACATTGATTTACCTGTACACTATTACGGACAAAAAAGTGCATGGATGACAAAAGACCTTTTCAAAAAGTGGTTTGATGAATGCTTCGTACATGAAGGTAGAAAATGGTTAAAAGATCATAATTTTCCTCAAAAAGCGTTGTTGCTTCTTGATAACGCTCCCGATCATCCGTCTGAAGAAGAACTAACAACTGAGGATAAATAGTAGTAGTAGTAGTAGAAAGATTTATTTAGCACATTTGGCTACATAAACAGAACAATTGTAAACAACTTAGAACTAGTAAATTCAAGCCATATGGTGTATGATGTAAATGCTGGGCAACCTATAATTGTAGATTTAACAAGTGATTTCTCAATTTTACATTAAATTTTGTCAAAGTTTTCTGGTCTTTTATCTCCGAGTATAATTTATTATATTCAATCAACCCTTGATGGAATACAGATTTGTAGCATATGTTATACTTTTTGGTCATTAAATGGAAGTCATCTTTATTTCTGGTATTATGTAAATGATGGTCGACATTTGATGATGTTAAATTAGTTAGACTTGATGGAAATATATTATTTTTTACTTTATAAATTAATATCATTACAAGATATTTGATAAAATTTTTTACATTGAGCCATTTTAATTTGCTAAGCATTTGCCTAATTGGAGTATATTTATCTTTATTTAGTATTATTCTCATGCACTTATTTTGTAAAATTTGCAGTCTTTCAAAAATGGAATTATTTGCTAAATATAGAATAGTCGAACAGTACAAGAAATTTGGAAGAATGATGGTATTATAGATAATTTTTCTGCTATATGAACTCAGACATCCAGAAACTCTCGATAAATATCCTACTAATCTTATTTATAACTTTTTCATAATGAATATCAAAAATTAATCGAGAGACAACAAAAACCCCCAGGTATTTAAAATTTTCTACGAATTCAATATCTCCACCATCAATATTCAGTTGAACATTTGTACATTGTTTTTTTCCGATTAACAAGGCTTTCGTTTTACTTGCATTTAATTTTAGTCTGTTAGATGCTAACCATTTTGAGACAAGCTTCAAGTCTTCATTTATATAAGAGATACTAGACTGAATATTTTTAGTACTTATACGAGTATAAATCATAGTGTCATCGGCGAAAATCTGAATTTTGCATTTTTTGACTATGGCAGGTAAATCATTTATGTATAAAATAAAAAGAAGTGGTCCCAGGATACTGCCCTGTGGAACACCCAACGTATTTACAATTTTTGATGAAATAGTGTCATTAACTTTAGACAAGTAATTTCTAAACCAATCTAAAACACTTCCTGTTATACCATATGCCTTCAATTTACCTAACAAAATATCTCTATGAACCGTTTCAAATGCCCTCTTCAAATCCAAATATACTGCTATGACAACTTCTTCTGAGTCTATGGCTCTTCTCCAATTCTCAGTTACCAACTGGAAAGCTGTTTCTGTGGAATATTTTTTTTCGGAAGCCTGCTTTCGCCTCCACTAAAATTTTGTTTTCTTCTATAAACTGCATTAATTGGCCATGCACTATGGACTCTAATAATTTTTCAATGTCTGGTAACACATTTACTGGTCTCATATCGCTGCATCTTTTAGAATTTTTTATTTTAGGAACTGGTGTTATTGTAGAGCATTTCAAATTTTCAGGGAAAGAACTGCTTCTCAGTGAACAATTGATCCAATTTAATAAAGGATATCCCAAAATTTCGAAACAGTTTTTCAGCACGTTTTTAGTAGTCATTTCGGCACAGTTGTTATTTGGTTTTAAACTGTTTACTTTTTTTCTTAGATAATTCAATGATACACTGTGAAATTTTGAAAGTGTATGCAACATTTCCCCCTGGAAACTGATTTTCATATAGTCAGGTGCAGCATTGGCGGTACCCACAATATCAACAATACTTTCCACAAAATATTCATTTAGTTTGTCTGCAATCACGAAAGAATGTGTTTCGGTACCGTTTTCGAATTGAACTTGTTTTCAATACGGCGAATAATATAAAAAGCTCCTTATTTATAGGAAGATTACTTTTTTAGACATTCGAGGTTCTATTGGATATTATTCGTATGCATGGAAAATTCGATACGAGAAGTACCGAATCGACATACTAATTTTCTTTTTGTTACAGAACCGCGGCAATGTGTTCGTAACCGACAACTTCCTGAGCGCCAGCGCAGATGCAAAGAAACAGTTTGTCCAGACAGCAGCTCACAACATCGTTGACCAACTGACGAACTTGGAACAGGGTCTTGATTGCGAATGTAAAATGGTCAACGCGTACAATGCAAGAAACGTATGCTGGGAGGCATACAGCAAAGAGAAATAGGTAAGTGTCATCATTACCACTGAACATTCAAATTCAAATTCAAATTCAAATTTAAATTCTTTTATTATCCCAAGAGATATTACAAAGTATGTATAGGATAAAACGAGACTTTACAATTATTTCGGGGAAATTTGCTAATATAATTAGACTAAACCTACTAGTTATTGAAGAGTTTGTTGAATGTAAAATTGTAGAGATAGGTGATTGTATTGTAAATCAAGAACTCAGTGCACCAGATACTTTACTTTGAGTTTACACGTGTATCTCTGCAAGAGGCCATTCTAGGTTCTATGTTTATATACTAAGTAATATATAAATCCGAACACCCAGTTTAAATGGTTTTATTTTAATAAAATTTTGTATAAGTACTTAATGAAGCATAACAAGTAAGTGATAAAAATTTCAAAATGATTGCACTGCTTTAAAGCCCTTTGACCTTTAATAATGTGTGGATGCACTCTGATGTGCTACGCATTCTCCAACGCGCCTAGGCATGCTTCTGATCAGGTGGTCAATGTCCTCCTGTGGTATCTCATTCCAGGCAACCACCAACTCCTCTCGAAGTGCTTCTAGAGTCTGAGGAGGACGTTGCAAATTGAGCAATCTCCTACCCATCATATCCCACACGTGCTCAATTGGGGATAAGTCGGGATATCTTGGTAGCCATGGTAACAATGTGATATCATTATGTTGAAAGAAGTCTATTGTGACTCTTGCAACATGTGGTCGGGCATTATCTTGTTGGAAAGTTGGATCTGCCAGGGTGTCAAGATAGGGTAAAAGATGGGGTTCTAGAACTTCGTGGAAATAACGCAGCGCGTTCATGTTACCTCTGATGAAGATTAAAGGTGACCTGGAACCATAAGCTATAGCACCAAAAACCATAACTCCAACAGTGTGATGAACATGTCTTTCAACAAAAAACTGTGGATTCCTCCTTTCACCACGTCGCCTTCTAACCCTGGTACGACCATCGTGCATGCCTAAACAAAATCGAGACTCGTCACTAAAGACAATACTGTTCCATTCCTGATCCCATAGTGACCGTTGTCTGCACCACTCAAGGGATTACGTCGGTGTTCTCGAGTTAAAGGGAGGATCCAGTGTGGCCGGTATGAAAACAAGCCAAAATTTCTCATTCGTCGGTAAACACTTCGCATGCCAATAGGTCTTCCGTGTTCTGCAAACCATTCATTTGCAATGGACCTGGTAGTGGAGAAACGGTCCCTTAAGGCCAATAATCTTAGGCGGCGATCTTCACGGTCCGTTGTTCTACGGCGGCGTCCAGTGCCCCTTGCTCTTTGCGTACGGCCTTCTCGAAGCCATGCCTGACAACACCTAACCACAGTGTCTACACTTCTTTGAACTCTAACTGCAATTGCCCGAAAAGAAAGTCCAGCTTCCCGAAGTCCCACTATACGGTCCCTATCAAACTCACTAAGTTGACGAAATCGTACAGGTATCCGTACTCTAGGCATCGTAACCGATCGTAAAGGATGTCAAGAACCAAAATCCGCCAACGTTGATTCTTTACTGCGGCTGAAATATTCATTTTTAGACCGTTAATGAATTAAAAAAAAGCAGTATAAAAACCGGAATGTCCAACTGATAAGGCTGAACATTTTTTCACTTGTTATTTACAGTAAGATAAATACATTCACCAACTTTTATTAAAATAAAACCATTTAAACTGGGTGTTCGGATTTATATGTCACTTAGTATATAAAGGAATGTGTTTGTATATAAATACAAGTCTAAGGCATATGATTCTTGAAGGTTTTTAAAAAATAATGGCTTCAAATAGTACCAGAAAAGTTGATAAACTGTTTATAGAAAAAGGATTTCCAACTAGTAGTAGAATGATACCTAAATTTAAGCTTAGTAATGCATTAAGACATTTTGGAAACAGTCTCTTCTTAATTTTGTGGAAAAAAATCATTAAAAGGTACTTAAAAATTTTCTAATATCCAATAAATTAAACTGATTTAGCATGCCTTTTATTCATGTAACAAGTCTAATCCTTATTAGACGAAAATGGTTTGCGAAATAATTGAAAACTCTGGTTTTATTGATGCAAGTTGTTCAAGGGGGTATTCAAATCATGGACGCATAAAATGGGTACACCATTTTTTGTGGGAAAACCTTTTATTCGACAACAAAGAATAAGAATACGTGTTTTTTGTTATTCAATCGTGTTGGCAGGAACGAAAAAACTCTTAGAATAACCGAAAACCGAGGCAGGATGCCGCTTTTAGCACTTGTTGGTAATGCGACTATAGTTTCACGCAGATACTTGATATTCTTCTAATTCTTAGGCTTTATACTCATCGCGTTGTGTCTCATAAATATATTGAACCAGTATGTATAGCCAGATCAAGCAGGTTCTCAGCATTTTTTTATTAAAAATTTTAACATGACTCAAAAATCAGTATCTTCGTTAGTTACTTCTTAAAAACAGTACTTACCCAAATCAGACCTTTTGTGATCCATTCTCCTAAATAATGTTCAACATTCAAACCTGCTGTTAAAGCTTGATACCTCAAACTCATCTATCTTTTAACAACCAAACCAAACCGTATTGAGTCAGTTTACTACCGTGTTTATCCTTAAATACTTTGCATTAATCACAAACTGTGCACATGACAGACACACACGGTTAACGCACGATACACGTTCCAAGTTCCAACAGTTTGCTACCCCACAGAGATTTTGAATTTTTCCATTCTCGTAACTGATGTTTATTTCTTGTTACAGAGTGTAACTTTACAAGTGAGAGAGCTACAGACGTATGTAAGTGCCAAGAAGATTCCTATTCATGTGGAACGCTATATTATTTGTTGATAAAGTGATTATATTTTTTACATCAATGGTATTGTAATTTGTATAAAATATATTTAAGTTACGTGTGTACTAAAGAAGTCTCATTTCAAGCTTATTTATTCATGTCGTGTGCCAAGCAAGACCCTTTGCTAGATCCCTTAAGTAGGTAAGTAACTAAGAAATGTCAGTGACTATCAGAGACTATATGGCAGAAATGAAATTTGAGATACAAATCCACAAGATTCAGTGAGATAAGGCAGTCGAGAAGAATTGTGAACGAATTTGGTTATTGTATGGTGGGACTGTATATTAAGCCAGCACAACATCCAAGTTCTTCCCTAATTTGACTTGGCTGCGAGTTATCCCATCTCACCTCAAAGGCCCACATTTATATTTTCACTTCATCTTACCTGATGTCACTACATATCGAAATTGCTTCTAATGGTATCCAAATCCGGATCGATCCAAAGTGAGGCATATTAGGTCAAATCACCTTAGCAAAATTTTCATTTCGTTAGGCCGTTCCTAGGGGCCCCTTGCCTCAAAAACTTGTTTTTTCAGATATATTTTTTTACGGGCGCAATTTTGTTCAAAATGATTTGAAACAGTTACCGATGCTGCATTGTTATATCCTAGACAGGGTGTCCCGAAAAAAGTGTGCAATATTCTACCAGCGGTTTCTAGAGCTTAAAATAGGAAGAAAAGTTTAAGTAAACATACGTGTTGAGATAATGACATAAAATTTGGTATTCTAGAATAGCTTTTTATGCTGGATTTAAAAATATTAACAATTTTAGACAGTTTTGTTTGAAAGCGTATGGAACAGGGACGGACTCAGGTTATTTGAGCCCCAATATTTTTGTGTGATAATATTTTTAAAATTCAATTTTAGAATTAGAAAATTTAGGGTTTTCTCCATAAAAAAGGTACTCTTATTGAATATCGATAAATTGTGCCATTTTTGAATAAAATCAAACTAAAAAATTTGTCACATGATAGGAAATGTACTGCGAATTTAAATGAATTGTTGAATAGTTAGCCATGGCAATGAAAAAACTAATTTAATAATCGGTAAATATTACATAAATACATATTTCTATTGCAACGTAGCTAACATTTAGGCAAAAACAAAAGAAATAATTTTTTTCTATGAACGAAATTGAAATTTGTTTAAAAAAGAAGACATACAGTTGGATATACTTAAAACTAGCTTTACAACAAGTGTTCAAATAAATTCCCATTTTGTTGGATACAGAGTCTCGCTCGACGAACTAATGATTGCGTAGCCCGAAAAGTGGAAAACCTTTTTCGTCTTATTTCATTTGCAGCCTGATGGATTCTTTGAAGTAAATCTCCTTGAGTATTTACTTCAGTCGAGTAAACTAAGTCTTTTAATGACCCCCAAAAATAGAAATCCAATGGATATAGGTCAGGTGAACGTGGCGGCCACGCCATAGGACCTCCTCGGCCTAACCACCTGTCTGGAAAATTGACATTCAACCAATTTCGAACATTGCGTCCAAAATGTGCAGGGGCGCCATCATGTTGAAAAAACATATTTTCTTGAAACTGCTGGCGCACATCCAATGGTATTATATCTATGAGCTCATTCTGAAGAAAGTTCAGATACACCTCTGAATTAAGACGATTGGGAAGTACAATAGGCGTAATTACTTGATCGCGAATTACTCCTGCCCATAAGTTCAATGAAAATCTATGTTGGAAATTTGTACGGCGAACAAGTTTTGGATTTTCATCTGTCCAGTGATGCATGTTATGGAAATTAAAAGCACCATTCCTAGTAAATATTGACTCATCCGACCATAATATTCTAGGAATAGTGTTTTCATTTGCTAATATCCACTGGCAAAACTCGATTGGTGGTAAAAAATCTACCTCCGTTAAATGCTGCACCCGTTTAAAATCATAAGGATGTAATCCTTGCATTCTTGTCATTCTTCCTATCTAAAATTATTATTTTGAGGATAACTATCAAATAGGTATTCATACATTTTTTTTACTATTGATCGAGGTATATCCATATTTTCTGAAACATTTCGTATGCTTATTTGCGGATTATTTTCAAACATATTTAAAGCAATATCCATACGATGATTTCCCAGTGGTCTTCCTGAACCCTGCATGCGCTGAACAAATTCTGGTGAATACCAGTAAACATTCGACGTCCAGGTACTATGCGATTGGGAAATCTTCTTTGATATTCTCTTACGGCTGCCAATGAACTGCCATCGCAAAACGCATACACAAAATGCATGTCAGTCAGTTCTCTGCAAATGTTGGCATTTTAAATCGATTTAATAAAAATTTTGATTCTAATCTAGTAATTTTACACTGGTAACAATGTCAGCTTAACGTCAAAATAAGTCATAACAAGTCAAAACAACTTTTGTTTGCAGTCATGGCTAACTATGTATAATCAACAATTCATTTAAATTCGCAGTACATTTCCTATCATGTGACAAATGTTTTAGTTTGATTTTATTCAAAAATGGCACAATTTATAGATATTCAATAAGAGTACCTTTTTATGTAGAAAACCCTAAATTTTCTGGAAATTTGATCATGTCCAACCCATTCCAAAAAAAAGATCTAAGACCGACCCTTACAACTACAGGCCTATAGCTCTGCTTTCTGTTATAAGTAAGGTAATGGAGAGGTGCATAAATCTCCAGCTTCTGGACTACCTCGAACGTCACAGCTTGATTAGCGACAGGCAGTATGGTTTACGACACCAACGATCGACAGGGGACCTCCTAGCTTACGTCAAGCAATAGTGGAGTAAACTCATCCAGTCTTATGGTGATGCTCATGACATTGCTCTTGACATCACGAAAGCGTTCGATCAGCTGTGGCACGCTGCCCTCTTAAGCAAACTTCCATCCTATGGCCTCCCAGAAAAGCTTTGCAGATGGCTAGCTGACTTTATCTCTGGCCGCAAGATATCCGTCGTAATTGACGGGTTCTCCTCTTCATCCCACAACGTCAATGCGGGTGCTCCCCAGGGATCGGTCTTGGCACCATCACTGTTTCTCTTACATATTAACGACCTCCTTTCCTGCACGATAAACCCAATCCACAGCTTCGCTGATGACGTCCCATCCTAACCGTGTCGAACTTGGTACATCCAGAACTGCACGATATGACCGCTTCTTTGTCCCGAGGGTGTCGAGATTGTGGAACAATCTACTATGGGAAGCTTTTTCCAGTTCTACTAACCTTAGCCAGTTCAAAAATCGTATTAACAAAATAATAATTATAAGCTCAACAGAAATCCAACCCCTCTTCCGGAGCAAGAAGTCAAGCATTAGCTCCAAGTGTGGAGCGGGCAGCGGCACAAAGAACATCAGTGCGCATAATTCTGGCGAACGGGGCTCTATTAAGATATATCCACGATGTCAGGTAAAACTACGAAACAGATACCCCAGGTAGGTAGAGCTGCTAGCTCAGAATCCTACACTGCACTTGCAGTCCCGCGGATTTAGACAACGTTTTGTAATGGAAATCAGCAACCACCAAAGCAACGGCTAAGGGGCTCGCGGACCATTAGCCTGCGAAAACCTTACTCAGAACTACCTCCAGCACAAGACCTACATCCCACAGATTCAGTTCAAAGGGACAGTCTTGAAGCACGACCTGATCAGATGAATAATCTTAGAAGACGAAGATGGTCAAAGGAGGAGAACTATGTAGTGATGTCGGCATACTACGGCTCCAAAAACAACAGGCACTTTCGAGATCTGGAGAAATCGTAATCCAAATATTATGCCAGATATGAATTCACAAAAACTGTCAAACCAGCGACGTGTAATAGAAAGGAATTTAACGGAAGCAGAACGACAGAAAATAAAATGCGGTGTGTATTCGTACCTTCACCAGCAAGAAAATGAACCTACTCTGCCGCCTGCTATCATAGAGAGTAATGAAGGAGAGCTAGCTGAGAATAACAACACTCCTATAGCGACTAAGAGCGACGAATTATCTAAGAATAACGATGCCAGGTGACATGCTCAGGGTGAGGCAGTTGAATTGGAAAAACAGATTCTTGAAGGCTCAGAGATTGTGGCGATATACAAACAGAATAGGCTATTCCAAGCAAATCCCAAGAAATATTATAGGAGTCTAAACTAAGAAGTACAAGTACAAGAACCGCCATCAAAAGAAGATGTCGACTCATTTTGGAGAGACATATTAGAGCAGGAGATACCTCACAACAAAAAAGCTGCCTGGATTGAGCAAGAAAGGCGAAAAACAGCCAAATTGTCACCTCTCAATGGCATGACTATACCGAAGACGAAGTTAAAGAAGTAATTAGGTGTTTGCTAAATTGGAAAGCACCAAGGCCAGATAAGATCCAGAACTTCTGGATAAAATCCTTCACTGCACTCCACTGTCATCTAGCTGTTGCTATGAGCAATTTGACTAAACACCCTAACAACCCTCCGCATTGGTTGACAACTGGTATCACATGTTTGCTGTACAAAGTCAAAAATTCTAAAGAGGCAAAAATTGTTGTCCAATTACCTGCTTACCCATACTGTATAAGGTCCTTACTTCACTTATTTCTAATAAACTGTATGACCATCTGTCCTCTAACAACATTCTACCGTCAGAACAAAAGGGCTGCCGTCGATCAACTCAAGGCTGCAAGGATCAGTTACTCATAGACAAAATGGTAGTTGAAGATGCCAAGAAGAGAAAACAAAATCTAAGCATTGCCTGGCAAGGCATTCGACAGTATGCCTCATAGTTGGATCCTTGAAGCTCTGAGTTTATATGGGGTTAATCCGATTGTTGTGAAGTTCCTCGAATCATCTATGAAGAAGTGGAATACCGAATTACAGCTGCATCACACTGAAGGGTGTATAAAAACTGATAAAATAAGAATCCGCAGAGAGATATTCCAAGGAGACTCCTTGTCACCGCTGCTATTCTGCATCTCCCTGGTTCCACTGACTAATGCTCTGAATTCTGGAAAACTATTATACATATATGGATCACCTCAAGTTATTCGCATCCAGCAACAAGCAGCTAGATAGAGAGCTAGACATTGTGAAGCGGTTTAGTGAAGACATATGCATGCAGTTTGGCCTGGAA